CCCGCCTGGTCAATACACACAGCACAGCACACCAGAATACTACACAGAAACGAACAAGTATATACATATAAGATCTAGAATATATATATATATATATATATATATATATATATATATATATATATATAAGCTGCAAATTAAAATTCCGTGTACTTCTCTTATTTGACTAAAAGGCCTGTTGTTATTTGAATTTTAAATTACGTAGCATATAAGTTGGCTATATATGTAAGCTATGTTTACTACATATACATTTTGTCTGAACAATGAAATCACACATAATCTAATCATGCATGGCGTATTAAAGTGGAATATTTGAAAAGAGTTACTCACCTTGTGACTTGTATCATAGTTGCTACTTCCTTTATTGTACTTATATGTTGGCTTGAAAGTCAACGTTCCCTCACAGAAACCGTTGAAAATTTGTCCTCTTCCAGCTTCTTGTAAGAGCTGGTCTTTGCTATGCAACCGCTGAAATAGCAAAATAAGGAAATAATTAATTACACGTTAGAATATTTCAATTAAGTTGAGAATTGGTTCTGAGATATTAAAGCTGCAAGGACATATTGGTGAACTAACCCGGTGAAGGTTTTTCTCTATCAAAGTTCTAGCAGGATATGTATCAATCCCTTGAAGCCTGTAGTTTAGGTCTCCTAACCAAATAGTAATATGGGATGGTCTTGAATATGGATTCCAAAACTTTGAAAAGAGGGAGTGTGATATGTGTCTGCATTGTGAATTTCTTTCTTCCACATTGCGACCATGAGCTGCAAATTGTAAAAAGATAACTAGTTAGTACAATTCAATTTACCTTTTGGCTTTTGCAACTAAATTTCCCTTTTATGTCCTCGGCTCATTAAAAAAAAATGAATATATTATTATACTACTTTTATGGAAGGCTTGAAGTCTCCTTGATCAAGTAAAACTACAGGGGGAGGGGGGACTTTGGACTCAAAATGCTAAACTACACCTAGAAAGAAAAGGAAAATAGTAGAAAAAAGTGATGAATATTAATAGATATACAATGTGATAGAAAGAGAAAGATAAAGAGAAATATACAATATCAATGAAATATTTAAAATAGTTGAGTGTTCAAATATCATTGCCTAAAGTCTAATCAGATCGAGGTTTGATATTTGCATATCTACAATTTTATACACCTCACAAACATACTATGTTCTTATATATATATATATATATATATATATAATTTTCTCTTCTCTTTCTTAATTCTACTTATGGTGTTGTTGGTATCTAGGAATTATATTTTATATAATTACTTTAAGTTAAAGTTATTTTTTACAATGACAATTAGTTGTAATTTTTTATTAATGAGAATTAAATTTGGTATTAAGAAGTTTACAACACTCACATACCCTACTTAATCAATCAATTGAATTAGACTCTATATTGACTCTACTAGTACTTAATACTAATGAAGTATTAAGATAACAGAAAAAAAATTACGTTTTAAATAATTAAAAGTATTTAATTCTCTTGACCACTTTGTCCTGATTAGAAGTTATAACAAGACCCATAATTAATTTATTTATCATCTCTTACGTATGTAACAAAGAGAATCTTATCTTAATACAATTAATATTACCAGAGAGGTGACACGAGATGAACACCATTCGAATTCCTTTGTAGTTAATGCGAATTGCTACAGCCCCTTTCTTTCTTCCAATAATTCCTCCACAGCCCCCAACAGATTCTTTATCTACCTTCAATTCTGACAATTGAAATTAGTCAAATCATCACATTTATGGGGTTACAAACAACTCATACAATTAACTATAAAAAAAATGACATAAAATCTCACCATTAATGAACGATCTTGCATTCTTTGGTCCAAACAGGTACAACTGCAAAGATTGCATGATAACTTTACCTATCAGGCTTCATTTCAGAATGAATGAAGGAAAGGATAGAAAAATTTCAATAAGCTCACAGAAACTTGAAGAAATAATGTTTTGAAGAAAAATTAAACATCTTAGAATTTGGGTTAGACCTAGCTTATAATAGATATCATTAGAATAAACAATATTATTAACTAAATTTGAATTTAAATCTAATTTAATTCCAAAAATCATTTCATATATGGGAAGAGAGTTAGCTCAATTAATTTATACACTATTTTAGCAATATACTATTACTACTCAAACTGTGATTTCCGATCCAACCAAACATACCATAATTGAGCTTGGTATTTTATTCACTGCAATTAGGTTGAAAGCACCCAGTTTAAATAAGACATTAATTAATTAAAAAATTATATTACGTTATGGACGTTATTATCAGATGTTTACCATTAGATAAATACAATTATAAGCCATGACCTAAATCCTTTTACTCAAAACTTCTCCAGGCATACTAGCTATATTCTTATCCGAATTCAATTATATTATTGGGTCTTGGCAACTTGCCAAGAGATAATATATGTAAACCCATAATCAATAATTTATATTATAAATACTGCATTTTTTTATTTATAAAATAACATTTTTTTAAAACTTTCTGACAAGTGTTTTGAGGCACTCGTTAATAATATGATTTTTTTTTTCACACATAGGTTTGGACTTAACTGAATCTCAAAAAAAAAAATCAATTTATAATTTATATATACAATTTTGATTATATTATTATTGATATAACACTTAATTTTTTTAAATACACTCTATTGTCTATTAATAGCCGGCTTGATACTTGAATAATATATGGTATTATGGTTGATGAATTTAAGATATGTTGTAACTTCTAATATCAAATTAGGATGTATGTTTAGGCTTGATTTAATTCTACAAATTAACTTGTATAATAGATATGGATTACCACACTTAATTCTCTACTTTGGTTATATTAATTAGTAATTGATATAGGATTTGCTTGGCAAATGAAATGGCATTGGCATGTGATAAAAATAATAAATAAAAATGCTTGCATTAAAGTGTGGCGAATATCTTACGTGTGACTTTCATCCAAAGCTGCTGAAAGCATAGTTGCGACTTTGTTTCGTGGACATGGAGGAGCCTCTTGCAATCCAACAGCTAGAAGATCGAACTCGCGGTTGCTACCAACCATTTCTGCTAAATCTTCAAACGTAACCTAATTCACATCAAATGAAAATGAACTTACATAGATGAACTTGACAAAATTAAAGTGAATTCGAGTACATTTCTCACAAAATAAGAAGAAACCAATTAGTCAATGTTGGGTGCACCTGGCCATTCATATTCCAAGTCACTATGGAGATGCATAGATCTGAATTAGTAGTGGAGAAGTTACAAATTTTATCCACGCCTACATTTCTTATCCCTATGTGAGAGGGTGAAGCTTGGTTATGAATGAATCCCATTGTCCTTCTCTTCGAACTTGAATATCTTCTTCTGCAAATTAAATTGTTGAGGAAAAAAAAATGGGCATGGTGAGAACTGATCAAAAGAAGTGAAGAGGTAATCAAATTAATAAGTTTCATCCATAAACATGATTATCGGTCATACGTACCCTTTGCAAAGTTGGTTCCCCATTGTGTTACGTGATTGACAAAAATGAAAAACGGAAATTTCCTAAAACGATTTTGATCAGTGAAAGATCACTTTTAAGAGATAGAGGGAGATGAAGAGATTTTAAAATTATTGACTTGGAAGTTATTTGGACCATATATAGGGCACCAAAAATGGAAAATAAATTAAACTTCTCAACTATTCTAGAAATTGTCAACCATTTAAAATTTTCGAATATACGTGTGTGTTATTTTTCTCACGAGTTAGGTAGCGTCTAGTTGACATTGGATGGAGGGAAGTTAAAACAAAGTTGAAAAGGACCATTCGACTAGCCCACATATTATCCACGCATGCAATTTACGTCAAGCAACTTGCCTTATTAACACGTGTTGGAATGTCATAGAAAGGAGCACAAGTGTTTTGGTCCCTACGTTTAGATAAACTCACAAAACCAGCAAAAATCAATAAAAATAAATGAGTAATCAATGATTATTTAGATTTAATATGTTTAGATAAACTTCTTTGTAAATATCTATAGGAAAATAAAAATAAAATAAACATTTTCATATATTAAAAATAGTTTTATACATAAGTTAAAAAATTGTTTTGAAAAACATATATAATATGTCATAATTTCTAAAAATTAACTTATATATATATATATATCTTAATTTTATCTTTTGAAGAAATTAATTTTATTTTTTTTCTTTCTATAAGTGATTATGAAATTCTTATCCAAATAGACTCATAAACAAATCCTATTGGCTAGTGTCTACTTAGGGCATATAGTTAATCACCTAATAAGAACTACTAATTTTGTTTTTCATGTAGTTGACTACTAACACTAGTAGAAAAAAGACTTTTAAAATCGGTTATTTTTTACTTTTAAAATTGGTTCTGTAACTGATTTTGAAAGAGTCGATTTTAAAAGTTAACTTTTAAGATCGGTTGTTTTCTAACCGATCTTAAAAGTCTGGGCGTGGAAAAAAATTAAACTGGAACGACCCGTTCCAAAACTGGAATGGGTCGTTCCAGTCTGATCAAAAAGCCTAAAAGTGAACTTTTAGTACAGCCCGTTCTACAAGGAGAACGGCTCGTTCTCCTTGAAGAATGGCCCGTTCCCAAAGGAGAACGGCCCGTACTCCATGGAGAACAGCTCGTACTCCGTGGAGAAGGGCCCGTTCTCCTTGCAGAACGGACCGTTCCAGGTTCGAATTTTACCCAATTGAAAATTGAGACGAGAAAAACATCAGAAAACGAAAAAAATACAAGAAGAACATAAGAAGACGAAAATGACAACGAAATTTACCTTGTTGGAGACTTTACAAAATGAGATAGATTAAAGAAAATGAGAATGGAGGAAAATATAAAACATTTCTGACGATACTTTTAAAATCGGTTATTTAAGAACCGATTTTGTATAATACATACAAAATCGATTATAAAAGAACCAATCTTAAAAGTGACACTTTTAAGATCGGTTCTAAATGAACCGATCTTAAAAGTACTTTTAAGATCGATTATTTTATGACCAATGATCTTAAAAGTGACACTTTTAAGATCAGTTCCTTTATAACCGATCTTAAAAGTGCTTTTAAGATCGGTTCTTTTGTAACCGATCTTAAAAGTGTTCATGTTATTTACAAAATTATCACCGCTTCACTTTTAAGATCGGTTACCTTGTAACCAACCTTAAAACTCTGATTTTAAATCCAATTTTTGCACTAGTGTAAATTAAACATTTCAATAATTTCATATTTAGATATTAATTATTTATGAGACAAAGTTAACCATCTTTAGATTTTTTAATAACCTACTAATACCAATTAATTAGCACAAACAATAGTAATTTGTACTTTTTAATCAAGTTGTTTGATATATAAATTTTAACATTGAGTATGAAAATATTATATTGTGAGAAAATACTCACTCACTTTGTGTAATTAAGATCATGATTCCTGATAAAGATTATTTATTATTCACAACGATGAATATATTTTATATCAATATTATATAGTAACAGAAAAATAAAGAAAGACATTTCAATACCTTATATAACATTAATCACACATTGATATGACCACATTAATTTACTTTTAACCACTTGTTAGAAACAAAATTAACCTTATTAGTTTACATATAGTTAACCATATGTGATGATCAATAATATGGTCAACTACTTGTAAGATAAAATTTGTCATACTTACACATGGGAATCACATGTTATTAATAATAATTTCATGACATTAATAACCACTTGTGAATTTAAATTAATCACCATTAACTAAAAAGTCATTAGTTTGAATAATATTAAATTTAATTTTCTTAAAGTAAGGTCTCACGTATAAGTCTTGGTAATAAAAAAATGTGATTAAAAAGAGATATTTCATTAAAAGTAATTGGTCAAATTTTTTGTACTAATATCATAGTTATATAAAAAAATTATCATTAAATATTTTGATAATTGCACCATTCATTCATTGTAATTATATATATATATATATATA